ATTATAAAAATAAATTGGTAAATCCTAAGAACTAATATTACAAGGTTAACAATATTCAATATGTCCAAACTTAAACATGGACTTGACTTTCTTACTTGATTTTGGCCAAAGTGCCATCATGATAGAACTAGCTCACTCTGTCAAATTTACAATTTCTGAGAGGGAGTTTCATGACTGTGCCCCCTTACGGGGGCAGGATAAGACTACACAAAGTAGGTGAGATCATGGGCATGTACGAAAAAGATTAGAGGAAGAGGTTGTTTTCCTATAAAGAAAAATAAATTTGTCCAGAAGCATACCTCTGGAACTTTCTGGTAAGGAACTATAACCCAATACAGTAGGCAAACAAATTAAAAGTCTAATTTAGGACTTTGTTTTTGGCAACAATTCACTGCGTCTAAGCCAATTACAGGCTACCATCTGATCAGACCATGTCCAAATAAGGCAAAGACAGAGTTATAACCAATCAAGCTGTTTCTGTACTTCACCCTCACCCCATGCTGGGGATTAAATCTAGGGCCTCCTTAGGCAAGTGCTCTACCACTAAGTTGCATCCCCAGCTCTGTACTTCACTTCTGCATTCTGTTTATAAAGGATTGGAGTTCTCTAAATTTCTGCTTCCAAAGCCTGCTCATTTTGCAAATCATTCTTTGCTCAGTTAAACTGTTAAATTTAATTAAAGTTTTTCTTTTAACTGCATGGACTGAGATAACTGAATAATGCCTTTGTTGGCACTGATATTCTGATTTCTGAATTGAGGCTGCTTGCGTTTTAACATGACCCTAGGACTGTCAGTGACTTAGAACTGGGCTGAAAAGCCATGGAATTTTCTAACTTTCCATGCAAGAGCAAGGAAAGATAACCCCAATTATATAAAATTTGTGGGACAATGAGAGATGAGAAAGATGTGCTTTGATCATATCTCTGAAGTTAATCACTTGAGAAAAAATTCTTGTCCCCAAAACAGAATGAGCAGTACAAGCACAGAGAAATAAAAGATCTGTTTATATGGGGGGGGGAATACACAGAGAGAGAAAGAGACAGAGTCAGAGAGGAAAAGAAAAATAATAAAGGAAAGCAAGCCTTAAAGAGAATGAACAAACTGCCTAACTTATGGCTAGTAAGCAACGGATCTGGGATCCAGCTACATTCTTCTGTAGATCCTGACTTTAATACCCATCCCCTAACAATGTGATTATGCTCCACCTTACACTTAGAGAGCTTGCATTCCCTTCTGAGTGTGTATGTCTTTAATTCTACTTAATAAACCTCACAAGAAAAAAAGAAAGACAGAAAGAACGTGATTATGTTCATCAAGGTCCGTCCCTGCTAGGGGTTCCAGGAGAAGGTTCACACTCGCTGTAGTTCTGAAGGATTATGTTACATTTAAAAAGCTGGCAAGATGCTTCTGAACAATGGAGCATAGCTCAAGGCTGCAATTTTGTTATTGCATTACAGTGTTTTAGGACCACTGGTGGTCTCTTTTCTGAGGTGAAAATAATATATCAATAGAGACAAGTGAAAGAGAATAAACTGGTCTCCAGGTAGCCAGACAGTATATGGATTCAACAGAAAGAACACTTTTGGGAGCCTATTAATAATTCAGGTACCCTTTATCCTCTGCAATTCCATCTCCAGATCCTTTCCCTTCTTAATTTTTCTCACTTTCTTTTTCTAAATAAATAGTACCAGCTGACAGGCTACACTTCGGTAATCATTGCAAAGAGAATAAACTGGTCTCCAGGTAGCCAGACAGTATATGGATTCAACAGAAAGAACACTTTTGGGAGCCTATTAATAATTCAGGTACCCTTTATCCTCTGCAATTCCATCCACAGATCCTTTCCCTTCTTAATTTTTCTCACTTTCTTTTTCTAAATAAATAGTACCAGCTGACAGGCTACACTTCGGTAATCATTGCACAATACAAATTCATGGCTTTGTTTACAAGAGCCTTGCTAGTTTTTTTTTTTTTTTTTTTTACCATTTATACTGTTTGGCTTTTAAAATCAAGTGCATGTGGCAGTATAGGTTTTTTTTTCTGTCTTTCTCTTTGCCAGATGGTATTTATGCCTTTTAAAAATTTTATATTTTGGTTGTCAATCCTGAGCCTTTCACTGATGAGATTTATCAAAATGCACCTACAAATCAGTCACTGAGAGACTGCCTGAATACAAACTGTTATTAGAAAAATGATCATGACAAGAAAACAATAACAAAAAACAGCTTTTGGAAAAAGCCACACTGTTAGTTCTTTTCAGAAGGGTTTATATTCTTGCACTGAGAAATAATTTATCAAAGGTTGTCACTCTGAATGAAATTAGATTTCCCTTTCAGCTTCAGTAATAGGTCATTTACTCACAGAAAGATGAGTCTGTTATAGTATTTCTAGTGAAAGCACAAAAAAACCCTAGAACTCAGACATGTATCTGTCTGCAAAAGGCAATTGTCTCCCTGACACACACACACACACACACACACACACACACACACACACACACGGAGGCCTCCACAGCACACACAAAGTATTAAGCATTTTTTATGTGATAATCTTTGCTTAAGTTATATTCTAATTCCTCTCTTTGAGCATAAGTATCAGTCAGATTTCAGAGTACATGCTGAAGCAAAATTTAGTTAAAAAACCATGCATGAGGGAATTTTTCACTTATTTCTTCACTGTGTTCTTTTTGTTTATCTCCTTCATTTGTGTTATACAGATTCCCACTAAGTTGCTATACATTTACTTAATTAGAAGATACAGAAGCTCTTTCAGTGTGTCTTGCAATGGCTTATACTACCTAGGAGTTCAGTTCACTATGGGATCAAAAGGGCAGCCTGACAGTGAGAAGGTAGTACCTCCTGTAGTCACAGCCACTTGGGAGGCTGAGGCAGGAGGGTTGCTTGAGGCCAAGAGTTTTTGGCCATCCTGGGCAATACAGTGAGATGCTGGCTCAAACAAAACAAAACAACTTTTTAGGGTGCTAGTGCTGGCTGGCACTGAGGTCATATGTACACCTGCTGTAGGTGAGGACCTTAAAGGTAAGCGCCTTCAGCCCTCACCTGTCCTGCAGACAATCTTCCCAAGCAACTGTATTCTCAAATTCACTGTGACTAAATCTGACTTCTCTTCAATCTGAGTCCTTTCCTAATTTCTACTAGAGGCAAGGTTATGTACATGGAGTTGAAAGGAGCAAAGGTGGCTTTGGATCCAAACTCTAGACTTCTTGTTTGCTCTTATGATTTATTCTTATGAGGATTCAGTTTTCTCCTCCATAAAATGTCCAAAAATATTCCTAGCATGTGCTGGGTTCCTGGGAAGAGGGACCCCTGCAGACTCAGTTTGAGGATCCCTTGAGCTCAGGAGTTCTGGGCCAGCCTGGGCAACTCAAAGAGACTGAAAACAAGCAAGCGAGCAAGCAGAGTGACTTGTGCCTATAACCCCAGAGTTCTGGGAGGCTAAGGCAGGAGGATTCTAAGTTGAAGGCCAGCCTAGAAAATTTGGTTACTTAGCAAGACAGTCACAAAATTAAAAAAAAAAAAAGGGATTAAAAAAAAAAAAAAGAAAAGAAAAGAGGGGTGGGGTGAGATGGGATGGGGTGGCTGGGGTGAAGGCCTTGGGTTCAGTCCTGAATACCATAAAAAAAAAAAGAAGAGGATGAAGACGAAAAGGAGGAGGAAGAAGATTCCTAGTGTTTACAATTATAGGCATTTAAAAAGATAACACTGCTAAGCATCTAGCTCAGGTCAAGGAGCAAACACAGGTGCTAAATAACCACTAATTTCTGCTTTCCACACTTTCTCATCTCTTTCAATGATTCTGCCATGACAGTCATCACTTTGGACATTAGTGCTACCAGTTTTCCTCCTTCAACTGCCCTTTACCTTAAAGACAGTCATCAAACTATAGAAATAAAAACTAGCAAAGACCTTAGAAGTTGTACTCATCTGATTTCCGGATAATGTAGGGACCTAAGTCACTATTTATTTTCACAATTTTTACACTCATCGATACTGAAACAACCACAATTTATTTCGCAGTGGAATTTGTGGCTTGATACTTGACAACCATATTGAACACAAAGAATCAACAACTATTCAGTGATCAAATATGAGCACATTTTGGGCTCATAAATTAAACTTTATTATCTGAACTCGTGTCCTAAGGTTGTTTGTTGTTAAAGGTCTTTGGTAGAGCTTTCCCTGTCTCTGGTGTCCATGCATCCCTCCTTTCTTTGCATTTCACTAGCATAAGGGAGGCTTCTGTCTCAGAGACAATTAGGAAAGAAAAGGATTGCAGAAGCCACTCTAAAGAAAAAATAAGACAATTCCAAAGGAATCAAAATCAATTTTTAAAAGGCCAAAAATAGCTAGTTAATTATCTACATTCCCTGAACCCTGAAACTCTTTACTCCATGTATTATGTACTCTAAGATAGTTTATTTTTATTTATTTTTTTAGGAGAGTTTAATTTTGCTTTTGTAAGTAGTTTATGGTAGACTATCCTAATATGATTGATCTACTAGGCAAAATAAGAATTAAATATATGTATTTATGTGTTCATTTCATATTCCATGCTGAATAAGCACACATGATCTGAATTTCCTATTTAATATCTTTACTGTCTTTTCCTGTATTTCACATACAAAATGAAAATTAGTGATCCACAGTTAAATGTTTTATACATGATGACAAGAAATATAACTCACATGATAGGGCAGGGTACAAATAACTACTTTTACAAAAGATTCCGTTTCTTTCATTTCCATATATGCACTGAATATATTTATCACCCGGTTTCTCCCAGTAATAAAACTGAGCCAGAAATGAATAAGAGACAGTGATAATCTCTTGTGCTGAAGCCCACTTATTTGTCAGAGCAACGTGGCAAGGTTCTGGCCCCCATACTTTCACGTTTTGCTCTGGGTCCAGTACACGGATTCAATTCAGTGTGAGGCAAACAAGTGCGAGAAACGTCTCAGCCTAGGGTTTGAGTGAGTTACCTCTGAAAGGCGAAGCCATGCTGCTTGCAGAGAAGGATGACGGCGACAAGGACTCCGAGGCTAAAACGCTTCATCCCAACTGAGATTTGCCCCACCACAGAATTCTCTGAAGAGAAAGGCCTGGAGGGTCGATCGCAGAAGAGCCGTCTGCACACACTGGTTAAAATATAACGGACGTTCCACCTCATTCCTGTGGAGCATTTGACTCAGCTTTCAGGCTCACTCCAAAAAGAGAACACACAGGAGATGACTGAAGCTTCAAAGTGGGAGTGTGGTGAGCATTGTGATTAGTTGAGGCGAATAAGTAATTAGCTGAGAACATTTAATACCTCACAGACGATAAGGCCAAGAAGAGACGTATAATAAGTAAAATCTTATCTGGTTCTCTGAAGAACCAGAGGAATTTTTTTTAAACAAGACACATTTTATTTATTTATTCATTTAAGTTTATTGGCACATTTTAGATATGCAGTACAGTTACATTCATCATTGGGATCTTGTACCTTTACATGATGTGTCTTGGTTCTTATTTTTTCCCCACTCCCTGGCCCTCCCTTCAGCCCATCCTCCTGTTCCTGTTTACAAAGACTTTGTTTCCATGTTTTTCCTTTTCTTTTATTTTTTCTTTTCCCTTCTTACCTTTCCCTACCTCTTCCCCTTCTCCTACTCCTTTAGACCTTTTCTTCCTATTACACAAAATCAATTATACATTTTGATCCTTATTTACACTTGTAGTTTTTCACACCAGAGAAACTATTTGGTATTTACACATGTGTGTCTTCTTAATTTCACTTAAGAGTATGGCCTCAATGTGCATCTACTTAGCTATGAATGACTCTAGTTTCTCATTGTTTATGGCTGAGTAGTACTCCATTTTAGAAAAAAACCACAGCCAGGGAATATTGATTGATGGCTCATAGAACACATTGAAGGAGATCTTTACTGCTTGCTGCTGTCTCTTTCGACATTTTTCACTTAGTGAAGACATGAAGTTGGGGGGTGTTCCTCACATGTGTGGCTAATGTAAGGCTGAGAAGCAGAGGTTATGTGGAAGATTATAAAATCCCCAGTACAAATATTTTTCTTCACCATATGGAAGGATAGACCCACTACATGAAGGAATACTGTGGTGTGTAGGCTAGATTGATCAATGAAAACAATGGATAGCTCAAATTCCTATTAATTTAGGGAAAGTCATCATAATAGCTTTTGTCTAAAAGCCTGCTACTCCTCAATTTGAAAGCAGCATTATAAAATATTCTGTTAGTACAAGGCTGCATCTAAACTCAGTGAGGGGACAGACTCAAGGTTCCCCTGCCCACAGTTCTATAAAGTTTTTGAATGTTCTTGAGGTCAGGATGAAGATATTGGCAAAGTAAATCAGCTTTCCCCAATGAACAACTAAGAGGGAAAAGTCAGATTTCAAACTCTCCGAGTTTAAAACTATTGAAACAAATTTGATGGATTGAGGTGACACCCACTGAACCTATATTTTGAATAAAAAAGAAGAGGAAATAAGAAAATACATGTTTAGCCAGACGTCATGGTGCATGCCTGTAATCCCAGCACTCAGGAGGCTGAGGTAGGAGGATTGCTGTGAGTTTGAGACCAGTCTGAGAGAGAGGGAGGGAGAGAGAGAGAGAGAGAGAGAGAGAGAGAGAGAGAGAGAGAGAAAACATGTTTCTCTGATCATTTGTGGAGACACACACACACACACACACACACACGCAGAGGACAGAGGGGGAAATTGATGAGGTTGGTCACCTATAGGAATGCGGAAAAGATGAGTAAGAATCAAGAAATGGGAGGGAGAAAGTTTTTGAGTAAACTTTCTGAGTAGGTCCATGTTTACACATATTCAAAACAAATATGTTTTAAAAATGAATACAAACAAAAGCAAATGAACTTATGATCCAAATGAGTAACATGAAAACACTGAAACAGAGAACTAGCCCAAGTAACTTTTAGCTTTTTTAAAGCACTAAAGGTAATTGAACATTTAAATGTTATCATATACAGATAAATTTTATCCATTTTGTCCTATTTTGTGTTGTTTCCTCAAAAGCATAAAAATTAATACATTGTGTTACATTTCTTCCTGACAAAGAATATTTCCAAATGCCCTTCAACAAATGATTTTTATGTAAATATCCACATTTTTCAAAATTAATCTGACTGTATGCTGAAAATCTGTGCATTTCAATGGTGCACCTCAATAAAAAGAAACAGAATGCTGCTCACTGCTGCCTTAGACTGGTTTATAAGTAACTGCTTGCTTGCTGGAGACAGAGGAGTAACTAGAGTCGACGTTTTTAAATCAAATAAACTTTTCACACTCTGTACTATCTAACACTAACTCTATTCTACCCTCACTTTTGAATGCTGCTTTTAACAGTGCAGTGTAACCAATGCTTTTTGTCCTTGGCATCTACTTTATTTGGTAGGACTCTGCTATTGTGGTTGCCTTCCAGGTAAGCTGTCCTTCGTACTTGATGATTTTTAAGACATTATCTATATCTTTAATGCATTACTCTGATCTAGATGTGGATTTACTTTTTATCTTGCACTTTTAGATATTTCTCCAATTTTGGGAACCACTTTATTATTTCTTCAGCTAGTGTATCTCTGCTCGTCCCTTGTTGGCTTGGGGCTTCCAATGAACTTCTTTATCTCCTTTCATGTCTTATAACTGACTTTCTGTCTTTTTTTTTTTTTTTTTTTTTTTTACTTTTTTCAGCACAGGAGGTTGAGCCCAGAACTGTTTTACGGAGCTGCATTCCAGTCCTTTTTATTTATATATTTATTTTATATTGAGATGGGGTCTTGCTAAAGCATGAAGCCCATCCTGGGCTGGGCTCCAACTTTCCATCCTCCTGCTTCAGTCTCCTGGAGTGCTGAGGTTACCACCATGCCCAGTTTATCCAGCTTACTGTTCAATCTTTTATGGATAAAATTCTTTCTGATTTCTCTCTGTATCTGTCGGTCTCTTTCTCCAGTTTTGGGAGTTGGACTCAGGACCTCATGCATACTAGGCAAGTGCTCTATCAGTTTTATTCTCAGACCCTCTTTCAGATCTCTTGAGAATCCTTGTTTTAAAGTCTATGTCATGCTTCCCTATACAGTTAGTGGTTTGCGATGAATTCATGTTCTGTGTATTGCTTTTGTTAGTCATCTTGCTTGGCATTTGATTTCTTCTGTGATTTGGAACACTGGTTTGTTTCATTGTGAGGAGAACATCTTCTTTTGGGTAGAGAATCTTGAGTTTTCTTCCTGCATCCAAACAGTCTTTATGTAGAAGACAAATTAAATCCCAATACAACAGTTGATATGAAGGCCCAAGTTCCTAGAATGGCCAAAACAATTTAAAGAAGAGAGGACAAAGTTGGAGAACTGAGATTTCCTGGCTATAAGGCTATAATAGTTAAGTCAGGGTAGAGTCGGCATAAGAAGAGTCCAGAAACAAATCAGTGGAACAGAACAGAGTCTAGGAATTCATCTGTACACATGAGATGAGGTGATTTCCAACAAAGTTGCCAAGATCATTCAATACAGAAAGGATAGTACTTTTAGCAAACGGTGTTGGACAAATATGATATCTGTGTGCAAAATAACTCATCTGTAGCCACACTTTGAACCTTATAAATAATTCAGGATAGATCTCAGGCTTAGATAGAAAAGCTAAATTATAAAACTTTCAGAAGAAAATATATGAGAAAAGATTTTGTGATCATTAGTTAAGCAAAGATTGTATTTTTTGGGTATGACACAAAAAGTGCAAATGAGAAAACTAAAAAATTAGACTTCAAAGTTAAAACCAATTGCTCATATTTTTGGTTTCAGAAATTAATGAATGAATAAATTAATTTTGATAAACGGGCTCTACATAATTCAGGCTGGCTCTGAACTCACAGAGAGCCTCCTGCCTCAGCCTCTTAAGTGTTAGGATTAATGCACCCCTATTCCTGGCAGCACTCGGTCATTGAAAGACATTGTTAAGTAAATAAAAAGATAAGCCATGAGAAAATGTTTTCAAAACATGTATCAGATGTGGTATTTGTGTCCAAAATATTTAAAGAATATGTGTAAATTAAAAATAAAACAATCCACTTCAAGGAAGGATTATACAGACACTTTACCAGATATGTAAATGGCCCGTGGACACACACTCAACATCATTCATTATTAAGGAGATAAAAATCAAAACTAAAATTCACTACCATGTGTCTCTGGCGTGGTTCAAATGAGAAAGGCCGACAACGAAGTAACGGTGAGAAGGAGGAGCAGTTTGAGCTCTTCTGTGCTGCTCACGAGGGTGCCAAATGATAGAGGCTCTTTGAAAATCACTTTGGTGATTTTTAAGAGTTAGAGCCTTATGGTATATCCCAGAAATTCTATCCTAGATTTTTAACCAAGTGAAAAACAAATATTTGTCTACAGAAAGACCTGAATGTCAGAGCAGCTGAGAGTTCAAAAAGCAAATGTCTGTAGCAGTTGTATTCATGATAGTAAAAGACAGAAATGAAACAGTCCAAATGCGGAACAATCAAGCAACCGGGGAGTAGAAAAACCCACTGTGATACATCCATACAATGAAATGCTACTCACCAGTAAAAAAGAACAGAGCATTGATACATACCTCAGAGCACGATGCCGTGCAAAACTGGCTATGCATGAAAAGATTGAGATTGTATCATTTCATCTGTTCCATACCCTAAGAAAGGCAAAACTAAAAAGACAATAGGTAACTTGTTGCCAGGAACTGGACCTACGGGGAATGGCTAACCTACCTGCAAAGAAGTCCAGGAGAATTTGTGGGAGGGGTAGAAATACTTTTTACTTCAATTGTGGTAGTCGTTACACAATTGTATCCTGCCAAGAGTCCTCATACCTGACATTTACAAGCTGAATTCTATTTGGAAGAAAAGGAGGGACGAAGGAGGAAAGAAGGGCCGAAGGCTGGCAGGAAAGTCACTTGCTTTGCTCTCCTCTCTCCTGGATGCCTCTCTGTTAGTCACGGCGCCTCTGGCGGGGAGGGAAAATAGACGTTGGATCCGAAGGGCTTCACCCCTAGCTGGGGGATCGCTTGTCACTTGCAAACCTCCTGGCCTCTTGAATTTCCAGCTGTTTCTTTCGAATTAAAAAAATCAATAATAACTTTTTACAAGAAAGCTGTGGTGAGGATAGGGTAGTGTGACGGTGAACTGATTGCGGCAATTT